AGAGAGAGAGAGAGAGAGAGAGAGAGAGAGAGAGAGAGAGAGAGATCCCAATCCTTATACTGCCAGCGACCAATCCACATGTTTGTTAAATCGAGTCACAATGGCAAGATCCACACGATATTAGAATACTGAGAACTGGTTTACAAATGGAACCCAAGTATACAAGTTGTTAAGCTTGCAGCTATGGCTACCCGACAACAACAATAACAAACATGTACGTTTCCCTCTCTCTCTCTCTCTCACAGTCGACCGGTCTATCTATCTCTCTCTCGCCATATGTATGCAACCTATGTAGCCCTGCCCACCCTCTCACTATCGCCCGTCTTTCCACATGGCATTGCCAAGTATTTGCGCACGTTGTCGGTGCGAATACCCTTACAAGGATATCCGCCCTGGTTTTTGCAAGCGACAGAAAATAGTTCGGTTTAAAGTCTAGGTATACCGCGCTAGGCGCGGCTGTGTCTGTTATTACGTTGACTGGGTGGTTTACTACAATAGAGAGTGAGTGGCCGCGCAGGTTTAAGGCGCGAGTGATTCTTTTCTGTTGTTGATCGTAAAGCCGACGCGGATATCGGTCGTTCTGCTTAATGATATTACTAATATTTATTTATTTTTGATTAAGCAAAAATTTGAGATATTTTCTGTTGATTGGTACGTCTGACCAAGGCGAGCGCGTGTGCGAGGACGACGGCATCGATAGCGACGGTACGACCTTGCGTGGTAAATGGGGCGGGGTAGGATGGCGCGCAGGGATAGTCGCGGCACGGATGGTAGGCCGGCGGCTTTCGGCGACCGTGCGTGCAGGGGCAGGCCGAAGAGTGGCTCAGGGCCATTCCTGGGCCCTGAGCACCATGCGCAACCACTTTATCTAGAAATTCGAGCCTGCCGACACTGTGCTTGGGCTTAGCCCTATAGGTTACGACATCGAATTACTACTACGGAGGTTCAGGGATCGAGGCTGGCGAGGTGTCGACGCAACAGATGCAGCAGAGCAGAGTGGAGAAGACCGAGGGGTCGAGGGCCCGACGAGGCTATCCCCCTTTGATTTTATTGGAGGGCGCGACGGCGGGCCCCGGTTCGTGGGTCTGGCCAGGTGCCAGCAGCCCCACGGTGTCCCGACGTTACCCTTATTTTATTTTAGTTTTCCTTTTGTTTTATTACTTTTGCCCCCCCCCCCCTTGCTATCGTATCCCGTTTTGAGCCGCGGGGCGGCGGTGGAGTTGCGTGGGAGTGTGTTGTAGTCGTAGGGTTGCCTGAAGCGCAATTACAAACTGTTTTCGTGACCGCGCTATAGTCGCGCCCCGTTTTGTCCTAGGACGCAGTGGGGGCGTGGTTGGCTTCCAAGAGCCTAACTCAGTGGGTATACCCCTGAGTTGTTGAATTACAGACCTGTGTTCGAATCCAGATGATGGAATTTGATGAGTAATACCAGATACTCTGGTTTGCCTGGGCCGACCAGGCTCGAAGTAGCCATAGAGCGCGGCCCAGGCAAACCAGAGTATCTATGGCTTAAGTTGGGCCCCTGAGCTTAAGACCTCGCTCTTACTTTAAGAGTTGGGCCACACTCTATGGCTACTTAGAGCCTGGTCGGCCCAGGCAAACCAGAGTATCTGGTTTTACTCATCAAATTCCATCATCTGGATTCAAACACAGGTCTGTATTTCAACAGCTCAGGGGTATACCCACTGAGTTAGGCTCTTGGGTGCCAGCCTCGCCCCCACTCGTGTTCTTGTTTCGAAATTCTGCAATGAATGTTACTCACAGATGATGGTGAATGACTCAATGCTTTAAATTTCAATATTGTCGTTATTTGAACTCATAAACTTGATTAAGTCTTGATTCAGTCATGAACTTGTTTCGTTTTGTGTTTCGTTGGCCTCTTATGCAATCCTTAGTAACGCCCACGCAACCCTCCCGAAGCCCGAATGACGACCCTGGCAAAGCCATCCTCAACACTGCCTCAAACGTTTCCCTATTCGAGCCCCTCGACCCTGGCAATGTGAATGACAACACCTCCCAAAAACTTCCCCAACCGAGTCCCTCCCCAACCCCAAAGTCCTCGAAAACCATCCGCACCTGAAATATGTGATATACTTGATATGTGAAATGTGCCCAGGTTTGGGAGTGGTGCGAGCAGTCACGGGACTCGCGAGATCAGAAGTTTCAAGTTGCCTATTTGGGTAGGGTTGTGGAGTGTCACCCGACAAAGACTTCACTTTTATTTTTTTTTACGGGTGCAATACCTCCACCCATGCCCCCAATGGCGACCCCAACCCCTATAACCCCATACAAATAATTATGGAAACCCCACTTCCCCCACCCCCAACAAAAAAAAAAATGTTAAAAAAAAAAAAAAAAAAGCAGATGGACTCCCCCCGACACCCGTCACCCACCCACCCGAAAAACCCTTTCGAACACCCCGCCAAAATCTGCATACGGACGGTCGAAAGCCCGTACGTACTGCCCATACGGGGGCTGAGGGCCCGTTCGAGGTGACGACACTTCAATCAATCAATCAATTCATGAAATAATCACGATCATGATCTTGACTGCTCTATTGATTGATTGATTGATTGATTGATTGATTTATTGATTGATTTTATTGATTTATTTGATTTATTTGATTAATATATTAATTAATTGGAAAACAACAAAGCATTTCGATCCTGCCGGATATGTAGCCCGACTGTCCCCTACCTGTGGCCCAATCCTCGCTGACCTTGGCCAACCCTCCATGACGCTAGTCGAACCCTCCTAAACAATACCCCAACCGTTCTCGCATCAGCCGACCCTTTTCATTTTTTTTCCTTTTGGAAGAGAGAGACAAAGAGAGAGAGAGAGAGAGAGAGAGAGAGAGAGAGAGAGAGAGAGAGAGAGAGAGAGAGAGAGAGAGAGAGAGAGAGAGAGAG